AGCAGCAGCAGCAGCAGCAGCAGCAGCAGCAGTAGCAGTATCAGTGTTTAGTTCATGATGGGCATTTCCTCCACAAGGGCCGGGTCCAAACCATGATCCTAGGGCACGGGGCTCTGTTGTTGTTATTACTAGATGATTAGGACCTTCTGGAGAATACGCGCCGTTCCCAGCAGTTTCTGCTTGTACTGGGTGGCCAAATGGTTTCAGACATGTTTGACCACCGACCGTCCAAACAAGCAAAATGTCTTACAGTGTTTGATCAAATATTTGTTGACGTTCAAATTTTATCAAATACGACCAAACAAGGTGTCCAAACGGGAAAATCTTTGCCGGGTCACAAAGCAATATTTGATCGTGTCTGGTCGCCAAACAGTTCCCGTTTGGACAGGAAAGTTTCCCTTCCTATTTTGGAACCAGAAATCCTGCTACTTCGCAGTGAAATGTGTTCCACGTGTTCTACTTGCACGTCTACAGGGAGATGATTCACTTACAGATCTATAGATTGGGTTGTTTAGTCATGGTGCATTTGACACATAAAACCAGCCAAGGCTGATCTAGCTTCCACTCATATTGTAATTTATTTATTTACCCATTATCTTGTATCGTCTGATCGAGTCAGTCACTCAAGTGACATCCATATCTTGGAGTTCAGGCACTTTTCGGCCCTCGCAAACTCATTTACGATAGGAAAACGCACATGTATTTGAAACAGATTTAGGAATAAAAAAAAAACCGCTATAAGGAAAAGTAGGAACCATTCAATCATTGCTCGATAACATTTGTGAAACCGAATGCTATTGTAACATTGATTTTCGCCGCTCCCATGCATTTAATTTTTTTGTGTTTATACTTACAGTTGATGCAAACTGGTCCGAATGGAGCGAGTTCAGCCCTTGCACTCTGTCTTGTGGAGGTGGAACACATACCCGGTCAAGAACATGTACCAACCCACCACCAAAATTCGACGGACAGGACTGCGTAGGAGAAGGTGTTGACGTACAACCGTGCAATACTCTCCCGTGTCCAGGTCAATAACTGGTTTTTGTTGAATTTAGCTTAGTAAGAGGGAAGTATCAAATTGTTGCCCTCAGAACCAGAAATGTCAAGAGTTGTTAGTAGCTGTTAGTGATGGACGTAAAGAAAAGAATGAGTGCAGAAATCAACGAGGTACTTTTAGTTGATAATAGTCACTCTTCCAAAAAAACATGACTGCAGTCCTGTACCAACTAAGACATTGAGCCATTTCCAAACTAAGACGGTCTCTAAAAGTCCTTTCACGCTTGACGACCTTTTACAAAAATTGCAATGCGCAACCTTTTTACAATTTCTCAAGGAAACGAGAAATTCCGAGGCTAGTGCTCAGAGAGTAAAGGAATCTACACACTTTTAAAGAGAGGACCCTGATTAGGTTTATAAAATGCATGTCCTCTGTGTTTGATACATGACCAATCCATGACTGTCTGTGCTCAGTAACCATTATCGAGTTATGTTGTAGCTAAATTGAAATACTGTGACCGAATAAATATGTTGATCTAACTGAATAAATATTAATCTTCTACTTACACCGTGAACAAAAAGACACAAACAAGCGTATTTTCCACTCAAGTACTTTCAGTTATGGACATTTCTTTCAACACCTTGCTTAGCTAAGACATCGTTTATTCACATGATCATCAATTCATTTAACTGAAAACTACAGATAGTAAGTTTTCTAGCTAGAAAGACCGAACAAATATAAGTATATCGATATTTTTTACATCGTTCTCTTACTGTTGTGGGAGGCACAGTGGCCTCATGGTTACTGCGCTCGACTCCAGATCGAGTGGTCCGGTTTCGAGTTCTGGTCGGGGACATTGCGTTGCGTTCTTGGGCAACACGTTTAACTTTCACAGTGCTTCGCTCCACCCAGGTGTATAAATGGGTACCGGCGAACTTAATGCTGGGAGTACCCCTGCAATGGACTAGCATCCCATCCAGGGGGAAGTAGAAATACTCCTAGTTGCTTCATGCTATAGAAACCGGATAAGCTTCGGCCTGATGGGCCACTTGGCTCGTATGCAGACCTTAACGCTCTTACTCTCGTTTTTTGCAAACTATAGTGGACGGTAAGTGGACAGTTTGGAGAGGCTGGAGCATTTGTACCAGGACGTGTGGAGGTGGCGTGCAGGGCCGCTCGCGAACTTGTACCAATCCCCCACCGGCCTTCGGTGGAGCGCAATGTACTGGGGCGAGGGAAGAGACTCGGTCATGCAATGAAGAACCATGTCCAGGTAATGAGATGACGATTCAATCGATGAAATTCATTGTTTAGCTTCATATTCAATAACTTTGAAAACATATATGTCCTAATACAATGATTGCATCGCGTTTTTGTATTTAGCAAACCACAACCGTTGATAAAATCTATTGGAAAATATATTGATCGATATTCTAAGATCTTCAAAGAGTCAACTAGTAATATATATATATATATATATATATATATATATATATATATATATATATATATATATATATATATATATATATATGTAAAAAAGATACCAGATGAGCATAATCTACTTATTTATTTGTGGCTCTCTCTTTTTCTCAGGAGATGGAAAATGGTCTGCATGGAAGGCCTGGACTCCTTGCACAGTGACATGCGCAGGAGGTACTCAAAGTCGATCTCGCACTTGTACCAATCCTCCGCCTACCCATGGTGGAAAAGAATGCTCAGGAAATGGTGATGAGACGCGTTCTTGTAATGGGAGACCTTGTCCAGGTAAATAATCTTAAGGATACAGTTTCTTAACGCTGTTAATGCTATGCTTACGGACTCCTGGGGCCCGTTTCTCGAAGGTCCCGAAAAGCCGTAGAAAAATCTCAAACCTTATGATTACAGAGCTGTTTTATTCACAACAGAGGTTCCCTTCATACAAGAAGTTTCAGGCGTATACATCTTTCTGTTTTTAGATATAAATTTACTAAAACTGGCTTTACGGGCCCGAAAACGTTTCCGGGGCTTTCGAGAAACGGGCCCATGCATGGATAAATCCCCAATTTCCCTATCCTTTGTAAAACTATCGACAATATAACTACAATTAAGTCTCGGACTTTTATTTCTTACTCTCCTAGTGGACGGAAGATGGACACGGTGGAGTGACTGGGATGCATGCCCAGTGAAGTGTGGAGGAGGATTCCAGGCACGGTCACGTTCTTGCACCAATCCCCCGCCGGCTTTTGGTGGAGCAATGTGCGCTGGGCAAAGACAGCAAGTTCAAGCGTGTAATGTACAGCCTTGTGGAAGTGAGTTCAGCAATATAGTTTTTTCTTTATACTTATACTATACCTCTACACTGCTTTACACTTATGCGTAATTTAACCACAAAGCGATTCCGTCTCCGTTAATTCAATATTTACAGAAAAAGGTCCTATCAAGTTCATCAATGAAAGGTTGTTTCAGTAGAGCAGCAGAACAAAACAAAACAGGAATAACGACAACAGCAACGACAACAAACAAGGCAGAGCTAAAATTCTAGCACCATGAACTGGGATGGTCGCCAGGAATGAGGATTAAAATTTAATACTGCACTGCCTTTAGAAATAACCCAGATTATTTTAACAAGCCATTGAAAACAACTAAAATAGGTTTACATATACTGACTGTATTGGTAGTAAAACGATTATTTTGCTTCCGTTGTGAATCGTCGTTTCACCTAGTTGACGGTAATTGGGCCAGATGGCAGCGTTGGAGCGTATGTACCAAGAGCTGTGGTGGAGGGACTCAAGATCGAACACGAACCTGCTCGAATCCCCCACCGGCTTACGGTGGCAGAGATTGTCGTGGAAAGAACAAGGAGGCTCGCTCTTGCAATAACCGACCATGTCCAGGTAGAAATTCTGAAACGTTAAGGGTGTAATGATTAACCGGAAAAATCAATTTTCAAACTCGAGGTCGACCATTATCCAATAGTCAATTGCAAGGCCTAGTAAAGCTGATAAGACATTTCTGGGGTTTGATGTTTCAGATGTTAGACAATTGTCTTACTGTATGCGTATAAGCTAACAGCAAATCATAAGAGGCGTTATTGATTTATGGTATCTGTTGCCAGAATGTTTATCCAGAGTGTAAATATAACTTCCTCGTCGACAGTAGAGTTAACAACAACAGAAAACAAATACTATTTGCTCAGACTGTGTTCTTTTTGCTGACTGTATAGTGGACGGCAATTGGGCGGCCTGGAAAGCCTGGGGCAGATGTTCGCGTACATGTGGTGGAGGAACACAGGTTCGATCTCGTACCTGCACCAATCCCCCACCGGCTTTTCGTGGATTGCGTTGTCCTGGGAGGGGTACAGAAACGCAGTCGTGCAATGAGGATATTCCATGTCCAGGTGAGGAATTAAATCATGTGAACGAGGAAGAGATATACTCCTTCTATTCCTTTGACCAAGGCATAAGTAAGCAGCAAATAATTTGTCTGCAGTTGTTTGGTGTTTCTTTCTTTCCCAAGTCTCGAAGTTGTAACTCTATTGTTTAATTATTTTAGTATCTGAAACATCAATTCAGATTGCATTCTCCGACCGAACTTAGCATTTTGAGTATAGTTATTAGTTGCTCAACTTCCTCTGAAATATGAAGGCTTTTATAAAATGATTACTACTTTTAATTACGAGCAGAGCCACGAGGTGTTTGGAAATTTGTTTAAACACTCTCAAGCGTTTGTTATGACTATTTCTCAATCGAAACTAAAACTAAAGGGAAAACGGAGAAAAATATATGTCAATTAAGATCGGTTATACAAAGTTCGTGATAGTTTAAATATACTTTGTTTACTCTTCGTGAATTCATTTTTACATCCACTCAGTTCCAGGTGGTTGGTCTTACTGGGGTTACTGGGGTCGCTGCTCAGTGTCCTGTGGTACTGGAATACAGTATCGATATCGGACTTGTACCAATCCCCCGCCAGCGTTTGGTGGAGCACAGTGTCTTGGGTATAATAGCCAAAGCTACATCTGCTACCGAGAAGATTGCCCAGGTAAAACACAAGTTATATAAAACACATCTTTATAACGAATTAAGACTCTAAACGACTGCTTTGAAACTACAGAAAACCAAAATGGACACGGTGCTTTGTTTGAGCGGGCAAGATAAAAACCTTGCCAATGCTTTAAGAGTGTTTAATACTATTGAAGGGTATATACTTCTGAGGAAAATGCCTGAGAAATGTTTAGCATAAAAGATCCGCTTACGGCCCTTGTTTCCAAATTCCATGTTCCTAAATGTTACAGCTGTGTTTTGACTTATGACCTCTTAATAAGTAAATAACTCTACTGCGTACTTTTCATTGTATTAAGTTGATGGGAGCTGGGGTCGGTGGGAACGATGGAGCCGATGCTCAGCGACATGTTCTGGCGGGAAAAAACGCCGAGAGAGATATTGCAATAAACCACGCCCATCAAATGGTGGTAAAGACTGCCCTGGCGATGGAGTGGAAGTCATAAGATGCAATACGAAACCATGTTCAGGTAAGGCTTATGGAAAACGTTTTGATCATAATGATTTGTTGCAATTGATTTTAGAGGATCTGAGCGTGAAAGGGACAAACGTTGCATTTTGCTTAGTTTAGTTTCCCTATAACGGTGACCTTTGCACTCATAGATCGGAAATTTAAACTATTACCTATCGGACTGTAATGAACATTTGAATTGGAATATAAGAAAACTGACAAAGATCTAAACGTTCTTAATGCAAATCTTTGACAACTGCGACAAGTCTTCAGACAGCCCATCATCTTGATAACATAAGAAAAACAACTAGAAAAAAAAAACTTTGTTCTTTCCCATGCTTACCCTCTTAGATTAAAAAAAAAAAACTTATGCATCTACTTTTGATGACAGGAAACGCACGGACTATGTTAAGATATCTTTCTTAAGCAAGGACGGTGGCAAATTCACAAATGTTAAGTCACCTTCTTTTTAATTACACAGTGGATGGAAAATGGGGCCGCTGGACCAAATGGAGTGCGTGCTCAAAAACCTGTGGAGGGTACGGAAAACGTACGAGGGATCGGCAATGTGACAGTCCTCCTCCAGCGCATGGAGGAAGAGATTGCATAGGCAGTAATATGGGCATGGTTTACTGTAACACGTACATACCTTGTCAAGGTGAGCTGGATACTTTTGATTAGAATAAACCGAAAATACCAATTACAGAACATGTGTTTGAGAAAATTAGTTCATATTTTAATGGCTAAAAGCGGGCCAATTTATCGCTAATTGTAAATTTGCACGGCAGTTCAAATTAACGCTCGCGCGTTTGTGATATTGTTAGTCATATAATAAATGAGTAATGGTGCGAAAGCTCGAGTACAATTAAGGAATTACACTAGTCGTGATATTTGAATTTTTTTTTCAAATTGCACTCGTCTAAAGGTTCGTGCACTTTTAGAATAATTTGTTAATATCATTCGCAGTGTTGATCCTTAAAGGGGCCCTGGTCAGCCACACCTTTGTTTTTGTTTACATGCGCGAGTTTGGCTATAATCGTTTATTCGGAGCATGTCGAAACGAAGGAAATCACCGTGAAACTACTAAAGATAACAAAACATATACTTTCAGGAACACAACTTACAGTAAAGCAATAAGATTTCGCTTCACCATGCAATATCAAAAATTTCGATGGCACCGAAAATGGCGGAAGCTGACTAGGGTCCTTTCATTGGGCATTCGTATGGTCACCTTTACTAATCTCCCATATAGGTTTATTCTCAAAGTAATCTCTCTCAAGTATTTACATCAAGAAATGGTTTCCAAACTTCCCGTGGCGTGATTACTGTAATATTACCACGCGCGTTGCGTGGATGTTTTCGTGGAGGATGAAAATGCGTGTGAAGCCAGTTGGGCTGTCTGTGTGTTTAAGATTAGCATCACAGGATCGTAATTATAATTAGTAACAGAGGTTTTAAGTCTGGTAGTATAGTAAATTAGACCAATTTCGATATATGAAAAGTATAACTTGGCGCCAAGGTTTAGGGGATTGAAACAAAAGATTTCATATCGAGGGATGAATCCCATGTATCGAAATTTGCCTATTATCTTGTGAATAGTTCTTAACCTTTATAAAGACGGATAATTAATGCCACTGAGATATCTGTTCATGTTTAACGTGTTCTAGTCCTTTGATTGGGTTCCCTGTGGCTAATTTTCGACATCATAAAGTTGCCTTCTTTATTCAACATCTGTTTTGACATTTTTATTGTGAAGAAACTGAATGTAGAGACGTAATATTTGTAGCTAAGCATTTATTTCTTTTATTTTCTTCCAGTGACCTGCAATGTTCCTCTTGACTTTGCCATCATCGTAGATACATCGGGTAGCATTTCAAGAAGGAATTTCAAACTTCTGTTGCGCTTTATTCGTAGCCTTGTAAACAGTTTTCAAGTGTCGGAAGATCACACGCACATTGCAATTATCGAATATAGTACCGGAGCTTCAGTGCAACTCAGATTCAATGACTTACCAGGAAGTAAACTTACAAAGAACAATGTATATGAAATAGTGAAAAGGATTCCACACAAACGAGGCAAAACCTATATCGACAGAGCGTTACGTCTGGCAAACGATGAAGTGTTCACTTTGAAGGGTGGAATGAGAGATGATGTGAGAAAGGTAAGCTGGTTTGCCTGTGACATCAATGGAATAAGCAGAAGTGGGATATTAGGGTTATACAGTCGAACCTCCAGTAAGCGACCACCCAAAATGTCAAGCCTAGGTGGTCGCTTACGGGGGGTGGTCGCTTACGAGAGCTTTGACAATATTGGGTCAAAATTTTGCCTCATAAGCGTATAGTAACTGGTGATACTTACCCCATGCGCCAATGCTATCTGTCTAATTACCATAGCAACAGTGTGACCCGCTAAAAACACCCTTAATTACAGCTTTAGGGGCTTGTAATTCAAAAATGGCATGGCGAAATTTTTTTATATTATCCAATTTTAATAAGCATGGTGAGAGGCAACTTTTGGCAAAGTTTAAAAAAATGTACATAGGTAATGAAGGGTGTTTTTAGAGGCTCATACTGTTGCTATGGTAACCTATTGTGTCACGAAG